TGACGTCGCATATAGTGTGCAGCATCATTTTTGCCAAGCTAATCATTCTCTAGCAATTTTCAATCACCGCAATCATACCTCTTTGGTCGACTGCTTTTACAGATCTCGCTCAAAAACAATAATAATTTGTAATAAGAGGGGCCTTTTACGTCTTTTGAGGCTCCGCGATAGTATGGCGCCTTTGGAATCACCTAATTCTTTGCAGAACATGCACCCCGGCTTATTGAGGAATCGATGCCGAATAACAGATCGCCGTAAGCCAGATGATAAAATATTCGACATTGTACTGACCAACAATAGAGCTCGTGGCTGGTGAAAATGAATCATACCTTATCAATCGACTGCTTTTATAAACCTCACTCAAAACCAATAATAATCTGATAATCACATAACATGGGGTGCACTTCATGAGCAGGGTTGTATCCCCTGCAACGGATCTGCTGAGTCGAAGGGGCACCGTACTACTGAGAAGCCTGGAAAGACGAAGCAGGCCTCTGTCTAGTATTTATAAATGACATACCAGGCCTTATAAAGGTTCAAAGTATGCCACGCGATAAAACCATAAGGGCTATAAGCAGTTAAATGGAGTGAGAAGATTCCAAACAGGAGGTAAATTGTTATAATCTTTGGGTGTAGAAGTACGAAAGAAGAGTGTGATCGTCTGTCTCTTGTTATTTCATGAATCTACAAAGATGAATTGTTGTTGAAATTCTAGATAAAGCACAAATATCATTGAGATACGAACCATTAAAGAAAGCATAAATGTGTTCAATAACATTTCAAAATGTGACCTTTTCGTGGATATTTAATCTTGCTTTTGAGAAAAGCGAGGTTTCAGTGAAAGTGTTGGCGTTATTTCTACTACTCAAAATTTCCAGTATTCTTTCCACATTTTTCGCAGTGTTATGGTCTTTCATATTGCCCTAAGAGAGTTGAGTGGTGAACAAATATACGACCTCAGACGGGAGTTGAACTCGCGCTTCATCCATACAGGAGACGCGTGCTACCACTACACCACCGAGGTACATTCTCGCCACCACTTATTCCTACTAACAATAGCTTTATTGAAGTCTTTTCTATCATACCCTATCCATTCACTGACATGTTATTCCTGTAGTGACTATAATATCTCTATAGAAATTTACCAAATTGTCGCTGAAGCGCGCCCCGCTCACTCGACGACCGCGTCACGTGCTATGAGAGTTATCAACATGAAAGTCAAAACCCCAGTCACCTGCTGGGCATCACCCGCGGTGCAGACTTTCTTGAGGTGGGTGGTAGCAGTAATCCGGAACTCCGTCGCATTGTTGTGCTCCACAGCCAAATATTGACCGCATCGATCTATTGCATCATGACCCACCGCGAATTGTTTTTTGCTTCCATTTACACATTTCGTGACTTCGAGTCTTAGCCCTCTTCATATGAAATTAAGTCATTTTCAAACAGAATTCTTTTTCCCCCATTTAACCTCTTCCAGTTATGCTATGATGGTATAGATATACCCAGTGATGTGGAATGATATGCATAATTTTTGCGTCGAACGGGACTCAAACCCGCGACTCTCATTTGATCGGGCAGCGCGTGCTCTAATCCGTTGCACTACCGGCACATGCAGTTTCCATCACTCTTTCTACCCTACAACTCATCTATCTGTCAGCAACCAACCGTTAAACGGAAAGGAATTTTAGTTGATCATTCAACACTCAATATCTCTCAGTTTGATTGGGTTCAGTGTCGAAACCGACTACCTGAGCAAAACCTTTGACGGTTGGTTGCTGACAGATAGATGCGTTGTAGCGTAGAATGAGTGGGGACAAAACGGGCGTCAGTAGTGCAACGAGTTAGAGCACGCGCTTCCGGATAGAGTAAGATGCGAGTTCGAGTTCCGTCCGACGCAGAGTTTTACACATCACTCTACATTAGTGGGTATATCTGTTATCAGATTTTATATTGTTCCAAACGAGGTGTAAAAAAACAATAGATTATAAAGGTGCTGTCCGTTCAGTTCTGTTTTGATTCCTTTGAGAGTGCAATGTTGAAGCACTACCGATGCGCCCTAATCTTCGAGTTTTCTTGATTTTACCACTGCATGTGGTACCGCTTCCCATTCCTTTAGAAAGTCATATCTCGTAAAGTCACATTGATACATCTTTATATAGAATGTACTTGTTAAGTGCACATTTATTCTGATGACCACACGAGCTGCTAGTGATACAGATCTCGAGACATTCCGTGATTTCCTCATTCAGTACAACAAGGTAACTGAACAATGCTTTGGATCTTGCGTCAACGATTTTACAGTGAGGTCGGTCACCTTTCCATTTTCAATTCACTGTACTTGTCAGTAGCATTTGTAAAATGAGGCGTCTCAAATTGTCAAGGATGTTTGTACCACTTCGGTTGTCAGTAGTGTACGTTTTTCTTTTGGTGTGATATTACTGGTTGCATAAGTCTTAACACTAAAGCAATACTCACCAAATTTTATCAACCAGAGTAATTAAAACTACATTATTTTGATATCATTCAATTGTGCATTTTCTTGCAAACATTATGGTGTGCAACCTGCCTATATTTGCTTTAAGAAGGAGCTATCTTGGCAGCAAATTCGCTTCCTACCCGTGCAGAAATTTCGCGGAGTGGAACTTCCTAGCGAAGCAGCGTGCGAGATCAGTGGAGCTCGGAGCGGTGATAAGATTTGAGAAAGGACGGCGAGAAAGTGGTTTGCGAGGTTTAGAGCTGAGGAAAACAGTCTGGAGGATCAGCTGCGCTCGGGCCGTCCACAGGAAGCTCCATAAATCTTGCGCACAGCTTCACTAACATCGGTCCCCTACGCGCCATTCGTGCATGGGTAGAAAGCAAATCTGTTCGCACAACAGCTCCTTTATAAAGCTAATATGGGCATGTTATACGCAAAAATGTTAACAAGAAAAAACGCAAATGAGCGATACCAAAATCATGCAACTTCATTTAGTTTTCGTTATACATTCCGATGTTCATTACCGAAGTGTCAAAACTTATGAAGCGACCTAATATCAAGGTCACTTCGAGTGCCAACATGTTGCTTGAATTCTTAGGAGCGTAACTAAGAAGGAAGAGAAATGCAGTTTGAACTGTCTTGACAAATTCCTCAAGATGACGCAACGTCTTTCCTTTCGCTTTCAGGTATGTCCTTTAGTAATCAGTGAAGTTGAAAATAGCTTCATCAAAGTTTTATATATTCAAACACTCATATTTACAAATTTGATAGTGGCTGCCTTTCTTTCTTTAAAGAACGCTGTTTTTATGACGGGAGTCCAAAAGAAATGGATCATACGAACTTCCCCGTTGATCGTCAAGGGAAGGTTTATCGTTACATAGGTCTACAAAATTACGATCTCTATCATATAGTTATTCTTTGAAGTAAGTTTATGTTAGGGCATATAAACGAATTAGAAAATCAAAGCTGGTGATAATTTTTATTTCTTGAACTAAATCCGCCTAAACATAGTCATTATTTGCTCATGAGATTCGATACGCCCGATTCGGTAGATCCTGTTTTTCTTTGACCAGTTCTCAAAATTCTTCTTTTCCATCTCCGAATAGAGCATATACCCTGTCATTTTTGTTCAACCTTTGCAAATCGTGCCATTTTCGGCTGGCGGCCGGTTCGGACGGCTACGAAGAGAGGCTGCCAGCGCTCTTCAAGGACTGATGTGGTTTTTTAAATGAAATTTAGGATTTTTGCGTTAATGAATGGGTTCCTTTCTTAGTAAATATTAAATAGGATAGATTAGATATCAATAAAGTTATTTTTTACCAGACATGCCGTAGTTGCTCCATTTATAATTCACAAATTCAAATCGAAAAATCAATGAATCTTTGTCGAGCATTTCTATGATATTTTATTTAGACTTACCACAATTAAATCGTATCTCAATATGCCTGATAATCATTATTTGAGCCACGCATGTCAGTGGTCTGTCAACGAGGGCTGACTTAGAGAGCCCGATACACGTGTTTCGATCTTGCGATCTCGTCAGTCGGGCAGTTACCCTTTCTCGTCTTTTGCTAATCTCTGTGGGTGCTCCAGTCCCTACAATAAGAGTTAGCGACAACGTACGTTTTACACTCTATGTTCAGTGAAGAACTCACCAAACACAGAGTTTTGTACACTCGAATGCTCGTAGCTAGTATATTTAATATAACATATCTTTCATCTCGAGTGTTTTCTTAAGACCACAGCTCAAATTTCAATATGCCTGATAATCATTATTTGAGCCACGCATGTCAGTGGTCTGTCAATGAGGGCTGACTTATAGAGCCCGATACACGTGTTTCGATCTTGCGATCTCGTCAGTCGGGCCTCATTGACAGACCACTGACATGCGTGGCTCAAATAATGATTATCAGGCATATTGAAATTTGAGCTGTGGTCTTAAGAAAACACTCGAAATGAAAGATATGTTATATTAATCGTATCTGTTTCTTATTTCTCATAGTCACCATATGCTTTATTGCATAAAGTACATAGAATTGATCATACTGACTGAAAATTGAAAAGCAATGAATAGTTTGCCAAAAATAGCGCTGCTTATTGCATGCGATCCCACTATATCGATAATTCTCGGTTTTTTTTCATTATTAGTGCACCTAGGACTTTTAGTGTCGCATCAATGCGTAGCTTTGCTCGATTTCTTTATTTATAGCTATGGTATGCGAGGAGGAGATGAACAAGTTGAAAAGGCGCTTTTCCAAGAATGTTGCTTCCATAATGGAGAGTAAGAATTTCCAAAACATCTGAGCGTTATCCTTGCTAGAATTACGTTTACGGAAGTTCCTCTTGTAACGATTCACCAAATTTTCGTAATGGCGGGGTTATCTTGGTATAAAGTTCTTCATATATGTATTGAAAATTCCGCTACAATTGATAGGACCGGTTGATTGCGGCAATCGCAAATCGTTACTACTCCTTCGCCAGTGGTGTAAGCAGAAAACGACCTTTCTCAAAGCAAATCTTAGTTCTAATATTTCAATTTTTCAAGCTATCGAATGACTATCAATAATCTAGTGCAATAGGTCTTTTACACAAAATCTAAAGGCTCTCGAGCGCATTCTCTGAAATATGAGTGCATGCGACAGAAATTGTTTTCAGAAGTAAAGATGCTTGAGGCATTTGGGCATTTATTCTTTTAAAAACACGCTTGCAAAAGTTTGTTAGTGATAATTTGATTTTTTCCGGCAAAAAGTTTATGAAAATCGAAATCTAATTATATTATCTCGAAAAATCCGCTATGATTCAGAAATATAGGCTGCGATAGCAGAACGTTAACATTTATTCATTAGTAGAACGTATTATAGATATCTTGTTACACACGCAGACTAACTACCAAAGTTGAAATCTTTCAAGCCATCGATTGATTACAAAAGCATCAAGAAGATAAATTGTTTCATAACAGCTTGGTAATACATTCCTTTTCGCAAGGATGTGGTTTTTCCTTTGAAGACAAGATATTGGAGAGTATTGGCGTAAATTTAACTAGAAATATATACTGGTCTTATCAGTGATATTTTATTGTTTTTGATGGCAATGTTCCTCTAAAAACTTAATCAACCCGAATTTGTATTGAGTGATGCATCAGTGTTCGTAACCGTCCGAGTGGCGCTCTTGGCTGTGGGTCATAATGACCCTCATGGTCCGCAAATGATTTGGATAAGAAATTTCTCCGTTAGCCCGCCTTTACATTTTTTCTCCTCCTTCAATATTTGAAGTCCAGTGTAATAGATTTCCATTTATTCACTTGAAATCCGGGTTGATTTTTCACGTCACAGACGGCGGGATCACGCGTTGACACGCGGGCAGCCCGTTACGAGGCAGTGTATTAGTTTTTTTTCTAAAATTAGGTTTTTCTCACTACAAAAGAAAGTTCATCCGCAGTAAATGGCTGAATATAGTAGAAACAATTTCAATACGGCTTTTTTGTTTGAAGCAGGGCAAAAGAACTACAAAATAATGATTTGTCGGTCAATAATGACTCTGTGTATTGC